ATGGTAGGTGGTCCATCATCAGAGTACTAATGATCATAGACCAAGCAAAGCGACACCAATTAGTATCCAATCATGCATTCTCTACGATGAAATTTTCAATATGTTTAGTGCCGCCAATCGAGAGCCATTGCGCACCTCCATCGTGCCTGTTACTGTTGTTGATGTTGTTGTTGTACGTGTCTGGGCACGTCAGCAAGCAGTGTTGTTCACGGTCTACGGCCACTCACACGGCTGGCACTACTGCTCTCATTCTCTCTTACTACCTAGTTCTCGTGCAATAGATGAACAAGACCCATGTACAAATGTTGTAGCTCGTCCCGTAGCTTACGAGTAAATCTTTGGGCCCTTTTGGCTCCGCGATCATTGCCAGAAATCTAGAGCTTGGAATAATTGCTCCATCAAGACCGCAGTCTTTGAACAACCCAAAGCTCCAGCCCAAAGCTCTGACACTGTCAAGATTGATTGCTCCCACTATCTGCCCCCACATCGTATCACTTTGACAAATTGTAGAAAATATTGGAATCGAGAGAATCGGGAGCTCGTCGGGTGGCAGGACAGGCCGGTCGAACGACTGTGAGCTTCGCAACAAAGCTACGTAGATCTAGCGTGTCGAGGAGCTTCAATCGGTATTCAAGTCGCAGCTCGTAGTAAAGGTGGTTCGTGTGGAATGAACGGCGTTCGACGAGTGCAAGGGAATCGATGGCAACAAACGCGCAGGAGCTGTTGGCCAGCATGAATAACTGAACCTGGGGGTGGTCAGTAGCGGCTGTTTGATTGAGCTACCCATCGCGTGGATATCAAACCGAAAATAACCACCTGGCTCTGGTCATGATCAAGTTCAATCCCATTCTGCGCGGAAAAACAGCTTCCAACGCCCGTTTGCTCTTCATCAGCTTCAGAGGCAAGAGGAGGGATTAGCTAATCATGATGTGGTTGATTAGTCATTAGAGGGTGCGCTCATAGAATTACCTACCCTAGACATCTACGTCCCAGTTACCGTACTTGACCCTTCATTTATTTCTAATCGTACCAATTGGGGACCAGATAATTGAGATTCCGTTCTTCAATTTGTTATACTTTTGGTGTTTTTAAAAAGATCTTTTCTCATACTAGGCTAAGTGACAACTTTCTTTGCACCATAACCAAAACGACACGAACATCATCCAGCAATGACGACAGCTTCTAAAAATAGTACAGCCATTTGATATATTGATTGCTCAAGCCCGTGTCGACAAATCAGGCCCAAGAAACAGTTGAAAATAAAGCCTATCTCGATCATTTACCGTACCTAAGATAGAGACGACCCAGGCAGACGGTAGCTCTCTCACGCTCGGTGTGAGTGGACGGCCATGCCCCATGGCACTGGTCGGACACAACTCGGTAATCTCTCGCGCGAGCTGACGCGAACAGGCCAGAGAGCTCCTTCGGCGGTTGCTCGCGCAGTTTCAGAATTGCGCGCATCAGTTCTTCTACCTCTATATCGAGAAGAAAATCAGTCTGACGAGAATCACCGAGTGCCTCCAGTTGTGAGCACGCGCAATGTCGGCATATTCTCGTGGTAAGCATAGGATCAAGTCGGTGCATCTTGACCAGCATCATGCATCATGAATTATCTTATAAATCACCTTGCGCATGGAATGGTTGGGAGAGAATTGCATAGCATCACAGGATACCATACCAAATCGCATCAAGCGACAATTATAGAACTATTATTATCACCATTAACGACTGTTCTTTTGTGAAGCAATCACCTTCACGATGGCGACACTACCAAATCTCTGGATCCCACAATCAGCCGCAACTGTCAACGTATCAATCATCAACAGCAGCGGCTCCATCAGAGGCATTCCATTTTCCAGTTTCTACGAGCCTCCGATCGCAGGGCACGAGTGGCTCGCTGCACCATGCACCTCATTCTTCATTGAACATGACAACCGTTCGCTTGTCTTCGACCTTGGCATCAGAAAAGATTGGCATAATCTCCCAGAAGCATACCTGGACAGCCTCCGGGACAGCAACATTACCGTCAGCGTACCTACCGATGTCCGCGGGATTCTTGACGAGGGCGGCGTGGACAGCAGTGCCATAGAAGCAGTTATCTGGTCCCATGCCCACGTTGATCATGTGGGCGACCCGTCAACCTTTGACAACAGTACGGCGCTCATTGTAGGACCCGGAGTCCAAGATGCCTTCTTCCCCGGGTATCCAGCCAACCCAAACGCCGCATTCCTCGAGTCTGATGTGGCGGGCCGCGAGATCAAGGAACTCAAATTCAACTCCAAGTGCGGTGGCTTGAAGATTGGCCACTTCGAGGCAATTGACTTCTTCGGCGATGGCTCCTTCTACCTGCTCAACTCACCAGGACACGCTATCGGACACATCTCTGCACTCGCTCGCGTAACAAGCAGCCCAGATAGCTTTATCCTCATGGGCGGCGACACGGTCCATCAAGCGGGCGTCCTGCGACCACACAAGTGGCACCCTCTCCCGGAATCCGTCTCGCCAAACCCATTCACGGGGAGGCCTGCCCCCGCATGCCCCGGCGACCTGTTTGAAGGGCTACTTCGCAACGGCAAGGACAGCCCGTTCTACGTCCCCTCCAGCACAAGCCAGATGAACTACAACACGACGGAGATGATCGAGTCCATTCACAAGCTGCAGGAGACAGATGCGCACGACAATATCTTTGTCGTCCCGGCCCACGACGAGTACATCCTGAGGGTCGTGGATCTGTTCCCGGCCAAAGCAAATGCATTTATGGAGAAAGGATGGGTGCACCAGACTCGATGGGCCTTTCTACGAGATTTCGCCAAGGCTATCAATTACACTGGCGAGCTCTATCCCAAGCAATCTTGGGATCCCGCGGGGAATCAGACGAGATCATAGATGAAGAGGTGAGTATGGTGTTGATCTCAGTGCAGCGGAGTGGCGCGCATGGATCTTTTGCACCTTGGGTGCCGCACGGTTCCTGTTTGAGCTCAAAACACCATCGGCTAATGTTGGTCGATTGCGTATGACCTTAGCAAGCTTACGGTGTTGGCGGATGATCTAAATGTAGGTAGACGGCGGAGGAGCTTAGGTTATTGGTCTTACTCTCACCAAAGATCCAAGAGGCAATATGCGATATTATCTTCCCCTATTCTAAAGCCAACTGCTCGTACGTGAATGTTGGCCCTTGGTCATTTTGCTCCTGGGTCGGTCCCTGACCGACGATGGCCGTGCTCTGGCACTAAATGAGAGGAACGGCAACTGAATGTCTGCTCCGGGAAGGCGTTCGCTCCCATCAGTCCGAGACCGCCAACTGCCAGCACCAAGGGGCGATGTAATAGGGCCGTCATGATCCTTGGATATTATGTAAGTGCTGGGGACGAAAAAGGAAGATGTAAGATTGGTTACTGTCGCGACGTCGATCATGACAACTGTTCTGATGGATCTGGTTACCCTACAACTTGTATTGATTGTTGTTCTTAGACATCATGCCTCTCAAATGAACGGGAAAAGTTGGAATTTATGGCAATTGTGAAGAAGGTGGATGTATTGTCGCATTAGTTGAACACTTGGTAGACATCAAAATACAACCAAAGATTGTTCTCTTGATTTTAGAAGACATTTATTTTTACTGCTGTAACAACACAAGATTCAACACCAAACCATCACGCTTCTCCATGCAACGTCGATCATCAAGGTTCATTAATTCGGAAGCGGAAAATCATTCATTCTTGCCACCGCCTGCCTACTCGATGACATCAATTTTGGAGAAGACTGTCGGTCAGCAGCCGTGGATGCGGGGAGGCGAGAGGCAGTGCGTGCGCGAATAGCAGCAAGCGGAGGGAATCCCTTCTGTTGGTGGAAGTGATCATGGCAGCAGCCTGTTTCACCTTCGCGAAGGATGGACCAACGTGGCTCAAGCAGTGCTCGGCACCCGCGCTGCTTGATGCTTGGATGCTTGGAGGCAGTGCCAAGGCACAGAGTAATCAAGAGGACCAACTGGTCGATTACGTGTGTCCTGGTGCGGATGCTTATTATTAGCCCGCCCAAGTCCCCAACTCAGGCACGCGTGCCGTAAATCCTCATTTGCTCAGGCCGTGCGCGGTCCAGGCCTAATTCCTGAGCGAGGATCTGAGAACCACGACCCTGGCGATGGGGTTATTGACATTTCGCTGCCATGGAACAGGGCTTCTGTGCACAGGGATGGCGGGGATTGCTGGGCCTCAAATAGGTGAGACAGTGACGGGACAGGACAGGGGGGACAGTTATTTTCGATCCTTCGACTCCTTGGCACCGTCTGACGACAGGCCTTGGTGAAATAAACCAATTTTAGGGGAGAACATTGTGCTCCAGAGGCAGGCGAAGGAACATTCTAGATAGTTGCCGGCGACAAGTGCCGTGCTGCAGTCGACGACATAGAAGTTGTGTATCCTCACTGTCACTGGTAGAAGCTGGCCGCATACACGTCGATCTTGGACTGGCTCCTCGTCCAGACGGACGCCAGGCTTAGGGAATGCACTAAAAATGAAGCTTCTATGGAGAAGTCTGCCGATGGAGTGTTGCACTCCGTCCGTCTCCGTCTGCACCGGGACAGGGGTCAAGGCCCGCCTCGTCGAGATGCTGCGACCCCGAGACAAGCTGGGGAATCTTATGGCCATGTCCCACGCATGGAGGCGGTCATAGTAATACCAACCATGTAGAGTTTGTTGGTAATTTTAGAAGCTTTGCGACATTGCCCTTGTCTGACAGGCAGCCTCCCGAGCTGGTGAGAAAAAGGTATTTAAGAGTCTTCCTCCTCAGTCCAGCTGTTCGACTTTCTTTTCCATCCAACCCAACAAAAACAACAAAAACATACTTTTCAGAGCTGGTCTCTTTCGCTTCTTCAAACCTTTTTTATATTTTATTTTTCTGGATCACTGGTTGATTTAGTACCTTAATACTTTTTTATTCTAATAATTTTTCAGTTGTTTTTGTAACCCTTTTTCAATCCACCCCTTACAAAATCATTCAAGATGGTCAGCTTCACTCAGATCGCACTTGCTGCTCCCTTCCTCCTCGGCGCCGTCACCGCCGCTCCCCTCCCCAGCCAGGACCAGAACCTCGCCGTTCGATCCGAGACCGCGGTCGAGGCCCGCGACATCTCCCTGGAGACCCGCGAGCCCAAGAAGGAGCACAAGTCCAAGTCCGAGGACTCCGAGACCAAGGACGAGGAAGACTCCGAGAAGAAGGTCAGCAAGAAGCACCACAAGAAGCACGGCAAGAAGAACAGCAAGAGCTCCACCAGCTCCGGGGACGACCTGAGCAACAGCTCCAAGGACGTCCTGAAGGGCAAGTTCCAGAAGTTCCTCAAGATCAAGGCCGCCGCCAAGAAGGCCGAGAAGGAAGCCGCTGCCGCCGAGAAGGCTGCCAAGTCCGCCAAGGGCTCGGACAAGTCTAAAAAGGAGAAGATCGCCAAGGAGAAGGCCGCCGTCGCTAAGAAGGCTACCGCCAGGGCCAAGAAGGCCACCAACACGGCCAAGACCACCCTGAAGGGCCTGAAGAGCAAGCACGCTTCCAAGAAGGCTGGAAAGTCTTCCAAGAAGGCCCACCACAGCAAGAAGAACAGCAAGAAGCACTCCAAGAAGGAGAAGGAAGACAAGGAGGAGAAGCGCGATGAGGAGATGATCGAAGAGCGCGACGAGGAGATCATGGATGAGCGCAGCCTCGACGACCTCGAGCTCGCCATGCTCGCCCGTGATCTCGACTACGTCCACGACATCGACCCTCGCGACATCGACGCTGAGTACGAAATCGAGGTTCGTGACTTCGACTTCGACGATGAGCTCTACATCTAAGCATCCCCTAGATGTAGGTAGCTATCAGCCGGTCTCCTAGCTTCTTTTTTCATTTCTTGGGACAATTATACCCCTTCAGCATTGTTTTATCCTGTAATTTGCATAGCGATGGTCGGAGCATACCTTTGGCACATAGAGTCTAGCGATCTTTTGAATTGGAAGATTATTAGTTTAAGAACTTCACCTGTCCCATAATTTGAACGTGAATTGCCGTAACAAACAGTAGCCCCTTCCACACACCTCGAGCCGATCTTGTCTGAGATGGCCTCAGAATAATATCTAGCAAATGTCATCGTCCATATAATACTCCATGCTATCCAGCAGCATCCACCAGCCGGATCTTGGCTGGACTCTGGTGATTTGGGATTCACTTTCCCCTTGCACCCTTTGCATCGCCACTAATCCTGCAACAACTGTCGTATGATACGTCTTCCCTGATCCCATATCCTCCAACTTGATGGGTACATCCGACACAGCGTTAGGTATTGAGCCGCGGGAGATTACAGGAAACGAAACGCCATCCAGAACGAGTCTTTTGCGATCCACGCCCTGCCCCATCGGAATGTTCACCAAATCCTGGTCAGAGTAGGCATGGATCGGTCTGCCCTCTTCGCTCCAGAAGCAGAACGCGGTCAGCCATCCCGACAGTGTCGTCACCCCTCCAGAGCCACTCGCGCCCGCAGAGTGACACGCCTGCATCCAAAAGTCCTTGATGTCCTGATCATCCGGCCTGTCGAAGCTTGCAACCATCTTCTCCGCGACTTTCGATAGATATATGCACCACTCTGCAGGCTCGCTCCCATACTTGGAGAACCTTTGGATCCTTGCCGCCAGCTCCTCCCAATCCTCCCTCTCCCCCTCCAGCGTCACCGAAGGGAAGCCGCACCCAAACATGACCACGTACTCGAAGTATGATTTCATGGTCGCCATGAGAACCAACGCCGACACCGTCCGGTCATTTGCGGTCGTGGTGCTGAACTTGGGCAGCAGCCAATCTGAGAGGTCCTCGTCCCCAGGTATTTCCTCATCGCCTGGACGAACTTATCGGACATGACCTCAAAATTGATGTTCTCAAGGGACGCTGGCATCAAGTTAATCGCCAGCGTTTTCTTCCCCTCGTGGCTCACAAATATGTCCCGCAGCTCCTCGGCATTTCCATTGACGTAGAAGCTGAACTGAACGAGAATAGCGAGCCACACGTCGTCGGGGCGCAGTACGAGGTGCAGGTCCTGCTCAAAGGCCCGGATAACGCCCTCGACGAAGCCGTTTCCGTAGGGGACGAGGCCCTGGGCGCTCGCGCCATTTCCGAACGGGTCGAGACGGATGTCCTCGAATGACGTCCGCAACACGGGCCGGTCCTCTGGGCCTGGTCGCTTGTTTGTTTGCAGGCCGGGACTGGGGACTGAGGACTCGAGCGTCCAGGCCCTTGAGGTGATGGCGAGCAGCTCTTGGGAGGAGCTGACGACACGGTCTGTGTTTGCTCCGACCGTTTCGGGCTGTGGCCGGATGGTGACGGGCATTTTGTTAGCTGTTGGGAGAGATTCCACTTGCGCCTTGCGTGTTGTTTACGGAGGCGACGGAGAATGCTGCCCCTGAGTGATTTAATGATTCAAGCCACTTCAAAGGTAGGAGTTACGCCCATTAGGCTGATTTTCTCATGGCTGCCTTGCTTATTTATTAGCGTGAGGGTGATGTTCAGCTCGTTGTTGAGCGGGGCGCTGCTCTGCTTACTTCTCAGCTTCGGATAACTATAATCACAAGATTCTTGATGCTGGCGGTGTGTTTCATGATTTTTCTCGCTCGGTGTCTCTGTGCTGGCTGGAAGCGATGAGTCTTTGCCGCAAGTAGATGTTGCGTCGCGCTCTTCTCAATGCTTGGAGGCACTTTAAAGGGTAAGCTGTTTCGTTCGCTCTCAAATAGAAAGACAGCTGCTTCACTTTCTTAATCAGTCTCACTACCATAGCCTAGCCTTCTGTCAGCGATGTTCGATATTCCTGTCGCGCTTCATCATGTTTGTGCCCCATCTTGACCCTTCGGACCTGCTCGTCTTGACAGAACATTTTGAACAGCACGGAGGAAGACATCTGCTAGTTCGGCAATTTGCGATGCCGGGGTAATGAGAGGAGGAGTAAACCTATAGGATGGAGTCTAAGGCCGCGAGTATGGGGAGACAGTGTCAACCAGCTTGAACACCTCTTCTGCAACGTCTGCATCCAGGGGGCTTCCGTATTGTGATTTTGCATCTCCGAAGTTTGGCCCGAAAAAATCCAAGACCGTGGAATGAGGCGCCCGCCTCTACCAGGCTTCGTGGAAGGGACGAGGCGAGAAATTGCACCAAGAGCAACCCCATTGCATTATTTCTGTGACTGGACCGAAGCTTTTATACCTCCCCAATTCAGTAGCCACTTGACCTGGTATCCCAAAGATCTTCCAGGCTCTTTGATTAACATGAATTTGGCGCTGGCAAGAGACACACCAGCTTTAAGGATATGATGTGTTCCAGTTTTCCAAACCAAGTGTAGCTTGACTCCACTGGCGACGGGCAAATCCAACTTGGTCAAAAGCCTCTCTGTGCTGTGCTTGAGGGGAGCAGTAATCTTGGGCTTGCTGGAGCAGTCTCTTGCGCCGCCAGGCTTATATACTTTGATGAAGACACTAGCGGTCTTAATTATAAACATGATAGCCCGGAAACACGCGAACCAATATAAGAAGGTCTGCCAAAGCCCTTGATCATCCGGAAAGCTGGTCAGACTAAACCAATGGGTTGCCATTTCCTGCTGATTTCTCAGCCGCCCCTGACAAATATTTGGTCAGTATTGAACAAGGAATGCAAAAGATAACCAGCAAGCTTTCATCATCCCCGGACTAGAATGAATTTGGAATTCTCGATCATTTTGCCAACCTAATTGTCTGGGTATGGCAAAGGAGTTGGGCTATTCGCAAATTGCTTGGGAAGGGAAAAGGTCCCGAGGAAGTGTTGTTATAAACGGGGTGTTTGCTTGGAAGATTGCTTCCACAAGTGCGGTATTGCTTTACTCACTGGTTCATATTCTAAATGGATAGCTTTAAGAGAGAGAGGAGAAGTCAAGCGCAATCGAAGATTGCGCGAGGTGCAGCATAACTCAACACGTGAAGCTTGCTGATTGTGTTTCTGAGGTGTGAGATTCCAAATCTCACACATCCTGAAATCAGACGGGCGTTACTTTCCAATCTTCTTTACTTCTTGTTTAACAGTCTCGATGATTTTACTTTGAGAAGATATTAAATAGGTGTGGATCTATACTTGATTGTCATCAGGCACACCAAACCTGGTATATGGTCTCCAAATCCCTCGTTCTATGTCCTACCACCGGTTCAGAGCTGGGAGTATCAAAAAGCTCTTGATTGGTAGGCCAAATCCGTGCCGTCTCTGACTTGGATGATTCTCTGAATTTAGAAGTAAATGAATCATCTATTCAGGCCAAACGTGGTAGGGTGGAGATTTAGATCGCCCCACGTGCTTGGTGTTGAAGCTATTCTTAAGGAAAGTAACTGCTGTCCATCTTGAAAAATTTATTACCTCCCTAGCAGTCCCAAATACCCCGTTAGATATCTTTCTCTTGTTCCTCTGAGCAACGTCCCCTATTTTCGAATAAGCCCAGAAATAGCACTCTCTCGCCAGCTCCAGAGACTTGTCAAAGTAGCACCAGGCCCAATAAAAACGTTACCAAACACCACTGCAAGGGCAGCCTTGACTGCATCTTGAGTACGGACATACCCATCCCTGCGAAGCTGCCAGATAGAATACAGACCATGGGCCGCAAGAGCGCCCATGGAAAGCAGCATGTCATACTTGAAGAACAGGCCAACCTCGGCTGCGCGGTTTGGCAGATTCCAGTTCTTTTCAAATGGGTTAGGTAGACCACAGAAGATCTTGCCAAGAGAAAGGTCAGGATGCGTGTAGATGTACGCCATCGTGACGATGTGGCTGGTGGCTTGGATCAATGTCGCATACGAGTAGGCTGACTTGAGACCAGCCACGTCGTCGTCACTGTAGATGGCCAGACGCTCTTCTTTGGCCTCTTGCTTCTTTTCCTCTTCAGTCTTGTTCTTGCCCAAGTTCCTCCACCATCGAAGACCAGCCGAGAACACAGTTACAAGGATGGGCACCATAGGCGGGGCGAATTGCCAAAGAGCTGTCCAGTCTTGCCAGGCACTGACATTGGAGGGAACCATCATGAGGACTGTGGGCACGAGATATCCCAGAGTAAGGGCTGGAACGAGCGACTGGACAACATCGGGCTTGACAAAGCGGTAATGAACACCAGTGTCGCTGAGGGAGGAATGGAGGAGAGCCCAGTAAGGGGCGATGCGGCCAATCCCCTTCAGCTGAATCAGAGTAAGGAAGAGGGCGGGCAAAGAGAGAATATTTGTCCTGTTGGCCTCGCGATTTCCCTCTACGGTCCAGACAAGAATGGATCCGACCAACTGAGAGAGAAAGTGAATTGCTTGAACTCTGGTAGCAAGATTCTCACTTGCGACAACGTCTGAGAAGACGGAAGTCAACACTCTCAGAAAATTTCCAACACCCGTGGAACTAGCCCAAGGCCGGATGATGGGAATTGCATTGGCCCAAAGGGTCCTGTCTGAGACGTCGAGCCGCATTGACTTGCCCGCGAGATATATGGTAGCGCCCATTGCTCCGCCAAATGCAGCCCAACCTGCCCATGAAGCAATCTCACCAACCGGTTTTGCAGGGAGCTCATCCTTGAAGGGTACCACATGGGGTCGTTGAGGCTTGGGCAGATAATGAAGGGAGGGAGCTTCACCCATCAGTCCGCATTGCGCGTCGATCAAAAAGCTCTCCTTGACAAACTTGGGTAACACACGCAGTGCAATCCAGGTCTTCAGCGGATTTTCAGTGCCATTAACAACCTGATTCTCGTATGATTCGTCCACAACCTTCTTGGCACGTTTGATTCTCGAGGACTCGACATAATCCATAATCTTTTTGACGTCGCTGTCTTCTAGACCATTGAGACCCTGTGGACGCTCCTTTTGTGCGTTCAAAATACCATTGACGAGCTCTGCAGCAGACTCGAATGCTAAATTGGCACCCATTCCGGTTCCAGGATTGGGCTAGGTTGTTTGATATTAGCTGGCTGTCGTCCTGAAAGAACCGGAAACTGTTTCTTTACCTTGTGAGCCGAGTCTCCCATGGTGATAATTCTTTTGAACGACCACTTGTCATATACTGTATGGTGGAGGGGTGTCATGCCTCCCACGACTCTGTGGTCGTAGAGATCCTGGAAGCGAACCTTGTCGGCGATTCTTGTATTAGAGTACTTCTTAATAAATGCTGCTTCCTCCTCGGCGGAAAAACGTCTTTGGATATCGTCCCCGTATGGGGTCTTGCTGTATTTCTCATCGAGCAAGAAGAAGACTTGGCCATTGTGTCCCGGGAAGACGAAGTAACTGAAACCCTTTCCTTGCGAAATATACACCTCCTCGAGAGAAAGGTTAGGAACGTCCTTGGCGATACCGTAGGTGGCAAAGTAATAACAAGGTACTTTGGAAGAAGGATTCTCAGCAAAATATCCGGGCTGAACCTCCTTAGCGATGCGATACATTGTCTCTCTGACTGCACTGTAGATTCCGTCTGCTCCCACAACAATACTTCCCTCAAAGATCTGGCCGTCGTTGGTATGGACCCGGACACCATCCTTCTTCAGCTCAATGTCAGAGACTCGCTTATTCAATTGAATATTGTCCTTCTTCTGGATCTTGTTGTGCAGGAGCCGCACGAAGGATGGGCGGTCCACAAATAGCACCGGATATCCAAATCTGCAAACGGTCAACTGTGCTCGATATTTTACTCCCGACGGTATTTTTTCTCGCGTGTCAGCTTCTTACCTTTTCTCATAATGCTCGTAGCCATCGCGGCACACGAGATGTTGTCTCCCATCACTGCCCTGGACTCTATGAGTATGATAATGAGCTAGTCCTAAGGCTTTAAGGGGCTCGTAGCATCCGATCTGGTCCAGAATGCGGCAGCCATTGGGGCACACGGCTATACCCGCACCAATTGCCGGAGCAATCTCGCCACGAGACTCTAGAAGAACGTAATCAATGTCGAACTTTTCTAGCATGATGGCCAGGGAGAGGCCGGCAAAGCCTCCTCCCACGATGACCACCTTGAAGGGTCTTTGGTCTTTGGTTACACCCATATTTGCGTAAGAAGAAACGTTTGGTAGTTAGTAAAGTTAGAGAAGAATCAACGGGGTCTTATGAGATAGTCGGTGTAGTCTTATCTCCGGTCATCCCTTGATGTTGCTGCGGGCGTTAGCATGTGGTGTCTTGGAAGAGCGGTCTCGAAGAAAGACACTGAGGAATTCAACGCGTGGACCCCGGCCGGCAGTCACCCACTCTTGAACTTTTATCAGCGGGTACCATGAACACAGTTCATTGCTCGTCGACTCCGTAATCCTGGCTGTAATCTCCTTGTCGAAGTCAGCGCTTTTCTCTTTTATGGCCCCTACGTAGCCAGCCGGAAACCGCGATCCTTGCTGCTCCACCTACTCAACCCACGTTTTGCAAGGGTTCTTCGTCACTTATTGCAGGAAATCCGAAAGGATCCATTATCGGAAAGGTCGGAGAAGACTATTTCAACTTAGTGTTCCTACGTTTTCGAAATAGATCCTGCTAATATTGCTTACGTGCCCAGGTAGCCATGCCATATATCAGCTCAATATAGGAAGATCGGGCGATTATCAACAAATGGAGCATTTCAGCTACCGCAGATGGAATAGTAAGCATATCACCTACGTAGTTCACCAAGTGGCCCATGTGCCGGTTGCGGTAGATGAACCACGAGGTTTTTACTAATCATACCACTTGAATACTAGAAAGGAAATAATCTTCAAAGTATGAGATTTGAGATTTTCCTTAGCTTTCTTATCTAATGAATAGCTCTGACGACATGACAGAGACATTTCCGATTCATCAGACTGTCCAACCATAGGAGAGCTTCCCGACCAAAATCTAAGGCGGTTTTTACGCCGGTACATGCATTCACTACTATGTATTTGTTTCAGCTCGAATACTCTCTCAGCTCGTATTGGCCAATGGCCTGTGGGGATTCTGGAATGAGAGGAATTTGATACGCTGACACCGTACATCTCGAGTCTCACTCAGGATCGTTTAATGCTTCGTTTGATGAGTCAAAAGAGTAATGAGCGTATCTATTATAAGCTATCACTTGTATGTAAACATGGAAAGTTGATATAAGAACATAGTGAATGAGAAACTAATGTCACACCGCTCTGAGTTGCATCTTCCACGTTGCTAAGAAAACAGGCAGAACAACAATGCAGGGTTGCAGTCGGAGATAAAACCATGCACCAAATGTGCCGGAATGCTTTGTAGGGGCCCAATTGGTTGGTACAAGGATAGAGGATGTGATCTGACATGCGGGGTCTCGAGGTGCGGAGCCATTTTTCAGCAACAAATGATCAATCATGGGCGCTGAATCGAAATCAGACAGCTCTTCCGAGCTCACAATGGAGCTCACAAAGCAGTATTCTGCGACCGCCGTCAGTGGAGATGAAGAGAAATTGCTGAGGGATCCTGAAACCCCGATGGCGCCAAAGGCCAAGGCCGCGCCAGCCCTTTTGTCCAGCAGCTGGCTTGACCCCAGATCCTTTACAAACCTTCAATGGGCGTCAAATGTATCTCGCACAGTTAGTGATACTATAAACTACGTCGCTGGGCAATTTTCAGAGGAGACCTGGAGTCCGGCTGTGGAGGAAAAGAGGCGGTCCGAGGCGATCGATCAGTTTCTTGACCAAGAGTCTCATAGACAAGATCGACAACTAAGAGTCTCCATGTTTGGTGACATCTGGCAGAAGCAGGTCCTCTGGAAACATTTTCGTCTAATTGTGCAGCCGTTGTCTAGTCAAGAGCGGTCGGACTTGGTCCCTGAAGTACGTCGAGTTGTCCTTGACATGGTAATGACTGTCCTTACCTATCTGGATGAAGAAATTATTTCTAAGATGAAAGGGAAGAACTTGGAGGAAGCCTGGGCTCGGGAGATCGTAGCAATCAGATCTCTTCACTCGAAAGACGAGACAGAAATGGTCAACCGAATCCTGGCTTTAAACAACGAGACTTTCCACGCTCAATTGAAACAGCACGGATTGTCGATGAAGGAGGCATATAGCAAAGCCCATTCTTTCGACGAACCTGGATTTCTGGCCTGCCCATATTATGACAATCAAGACATCTTCAAACAGGTAGAGAGGGTGCACGCCGCAGACTACGAGCCGACAGACCACGACTTCTTCCACTTCGACCGTCGGTTATCCCTAACACTGATACGAGAAGTTAAAATCGAAAGGCTCGGCTACTCTATTCAACTCCAGGATCCGGTTCGGAATATGGGCGAGCGACGAAAATGGATCCACCATATCGAGAACCACACTGGTGTATTGTTCATTGCCGATATTGGCCGTTACGATGAGACCCTTTGTGAGGATGACTCGGTGAGCGTCTTAGACGAGCAGATGGCGGTTTATGAGTCAATTCTTTGGTCCAAGTGGTTTTCCAATGCGCCGTTACTACTTGTATTGTCCAATCTGGTCTTGTTTGAGTCCAAGCTGGAAATCTCGCCCCTTGCCAAGTTCTTCCCGGACTACGAGGGCAGAAGTTTGGATGATGCAAAGGCGTATATTGCTTCTCGATTTCTGAAGGCCGCAAAGGACCGGAAAGACGTTCATGTATTCTATCTCAATGTGTGCGATGAGCAGAATGTGCGCGAGATCTTTGACGCCATGGAGGGAACAGTACTTAAACCAGCACTTACGAAGCTCGGTCTTGTTGGGCAGATGTAGCTTTAGTTTCCGATATCATGATGGATTCATGTTCCATTTTCTTTTAAGATAGGAAAGAAGAATATAAGGGCACTTCTTATAAGGTGGTGAGATTGTTTGATGACTGTGTGACTTCGTATGAGCTGGGGTCTGGAAGAGAACGTGCTAACATGACGTGCTCAGTATCATAAATAGAGTCTGCGATTTGGTCTACGACTTTCAATCTTGAAGGGAAAATTTGCGGTATTATTTGTTTAAATAATACAAGATTCCAAAAATACACATTCAATCATCATGCTTCGACTACTCTCCATAATATCCTCCTAGTCAAAGAGGAGGGCCAATCATTAAGACTCTTAGACCTGAGGGTAGGCCGTGTAGTTCCATGGCCTGCTGTTCTGTAGCAATTGGTAGTCCAGTCCCTTTGCTCCTGCGTTCATGTAAAAGAACTTGGTAAAAGGCACCGTCCCTCTGTATGAGAACTCTACATTTTCAGGGATGAAAGCCACGTCACCCGTGATCAAGGTGGCCTTTTCATAGCCCTTGATGGCCAGTTCAAGCTGGCCATCTTCCATCTGCAAGCCAAAATGGTTGGGTAGGACAGTGACATCGCCAGTGGACTTGGGCGACAGGATGATGGTGCCAGTGCTGAAGTTTCTTCCGAGAGTAATATCGGAGGTAGATAGCGGCTGGATGATCTTATAGCCTGACTCTTCATTCAGGTACTTGGGACCGTAATCCTTTGCGATGAAGTAGGGAAGCGTGGGATCGGTCGGTAGCTCGTTTGGCCCATCGTGCCAGTGCAGAGACTTATCGCCGGCTGTTCCGTTGACAAAGTCTCTTCGAGGGATCCAGGGTGCGTCGTCGTAGAAGGCATAGAGATCTAGACTCTGCAGAGTGGCATCCTCCTTGGGCGTAAGTGCGCCGAAGGGGGGGTTGTCATTCTCGGCTGGGACAAACGACGAGCTGATGCCCCCCGTGTCGAAGTCGCCGGAGCTGAAAACCTCGAACAGATGTTCAAATCCGGCGGGGTGGAAAACGTGCGTCAGTGATGAGTCGGGGTCTGTGAGTTGGAAGGTGTGAATGCCGTAGGGCGGAATGCTGCCGTAGTCACCCACGGTGGCCACGCGGGCCTCGTGGCTGGCGTTGGCCTCGTCCTTCATACCCCAGAGCTGGACGCGGCCACGAGAGCAGTAGAAGTGCTCTTGAACCTCATGGTGGCGGTGAGGACGCGCAGATGTGTAGCCCCGGACGTTGCCAGTGTGCTGGAGGAGAGCAAACGCACCGCCGGAAGAGTTGTTGGTAATGGAGTACCGGATCACTTGGGTCTCAGCCAGCTTGGTCGCTTTGCCTCGGAACTTTGGCAGGACGTAGGGCCTCACGTGGTCGGGAGCTTCCATGACGATGATACTTTCATTGTTGACTGCAACACCTAGAGCAGGAGCGGCAACTGCAGCAGCTGCCGCCAAAACGGTAGGAACTCTCATGTTTGCTAATTGACTGTGAGCAGATCAGGATGGGAACAACAGGAACGAAGAGAACGCGTTCAATTGTTGATTTTGTTGAGCAGGACGAAACCTTCTTCTTATAGAACTTGACTCCGGGGCCGAAGCCCACCTTCCCGATTCGCCGTGTCGACAGGGTTATTGAGAATGAATAATCAGGAAGAGTGGCAACTTGAGATTTCCGATGTGACAATATGGAGAAGTCCAAGAAGAGCTTTAACCCGGGGTTGGATATGCATGACGGTTCAAGTAGAAATAGACAATCCGGCATATCGGTAGAGCCTTTTCGTTGGAGTAAGCCGTCATATCTTTGGACTTTCGAAGGCCGTGCCACGATCTTCGGAATGGAGGCGGCGTATAGACAGTAGTCGCCCTACGGTTCGAGAAGGGTCCGAAAATCTGAAACTCGGATGCGTCCGTTTCCGGAAAACATGGTTGCTGGATCCCACCAGGATCTATCCCACCGGCTGCCAAGATGTGCGTCTTGCATCCATCCCGCGTATGTATGCGCTTGATCGCCGTGTTCTACAGGCACTCGTAAACTGTCCCATCATATGTCCAATGCGTGCTTACTCTATCAAGGGGGTGGGCATCCCTGCGATTCGGAAAAAAGATCGATTGACGATGGGAGGAACGGAGTCACCGTTTGTTTTATGGGGCTGGAAGGCGAATTTGATATTTATAACTTCCTAGTTTAGGCCGTTGTAGGATTCTAATGGTGTAGGATCCTGGCGTATCGCGTGCTCCGAATGGAACCTTTGGTCTTTGGCGTTAAACAGAGTGTTTCTTCGTTTCTGGGGCGACATTCTGAGTTCCAACTAGCTTTTGGAGGGCTTATACATAAAAACAAACTATAAATCTTTCTCTGTGCCCATGTCTACTATGTCTCCCAACTATCGGATTTAAAGTATATTTGCTTCTGGATTTATATATCCCTGCCTTTGCAACTTTTACGCTGGGACAAGCCTGATGACTTCTTGGCTGAACTGGCTTACCATCGGCATATGGCCAAGTTGCAAGTAACTGCCCGCCGGCAGATATCATGAGGTCATGGATCTGTGTACAAACGGTGATGATAGACTAACCAACTGAAACTGGAGGCTCTTTCAGAGGCCGGATAATGCCGATATTGAGGAGGCAGCAATGGATGCCTAGACCTGCTTGAGTTCTCGACGTTCGACCAAGGATGACGCTGTAGGCATTATATTTGATGATTTTACGCAGAAGAAATCAAGGTTTCTTGGCTGTTTCTTGGCTGTCTAGTGGTGGTTGCGGGGTACAACTTCACGAGACAGAGGCTCGGGGCAATTTCCATGTGAAGTAACTTAAACTACACGCAAATCGTGTACATTTAGCGACTTCGGCAATACTCCACAAATCAAAATGGTTAGCTGGGATCTACGTGTTCTCTAGGGGTTGGATAGTGACCTCCAATGCTATCGGCTAATGCAATGCAACGGAACGCTTACACAGTGTTTTGTAGCCGGCTGGCTTAGACTTTCGCATCCAGGATGAGTCCAACTGACAGACCGACTTCTTTCCCAGCTGGATGACACCACAAACAGTATAAAAAGAAATCCCTTCCTAAATCAAACCAGTTGTATCTCCCAATTGCCTATAATTTCTTCCTCTTGATACCAGACTAGATCAACCCTTTGCCTCCTCAACCCCTCTTCGAAATCTCAACTCGACTCCATCTGTCAGCTTACGTCATGGGTCTCTACACCGACCTTCCTCCAGAAATCAATGCCGTAGATATCATCATCGCCGGTGGCGGCACCGCCGGTTGCATCGTGGCATCCAGACTTGCCGATGCCGACCCAAACCTGTCCATCCTGGTCGTCGAGGCTGGCCCCGACGGAGCTGGTAACGCCAACGTGGACTACCCCGTCTTCTTCTTGGGAAATATCCTCCCTACCTCTAGCGTGTCGACCTTTTACAAGAGCAAGAAATCTGGCCATACGGGCGATCGCGAGCTTTTCGTGTCCACCGCCAATGTGCTTGGCGGTGGCTCGGCCACCAACATGATGCACTACAGCCGTGCGCAGCGCTCTGACTGGGATTCGTGGAATGTTCCCGGCTGGTCTGCTGACGAGCTACTCCCCTATATGAGAAAGGTTCGGGCTCATCTTGGAACTCCTTCTCCGCTTCTTCCTTCAAACTGGCAAACTTGAGATCTGACTTGCAAGTCCAGCTTGAATCATACCATGGCCCGGGCTCGATGGACGACCACGGAACTGACGGCCCTGTCCAAGTATCTACGGGGACCTACGCCTCTCCCAGAATACAGGATCAATGCATCTCGGCGATGAATGAGCTCGGGTGGCCGGAGATTGATGACTTCTACAGTGCAGAAACCTGTGATGGTGTTCAGCGCCCTGTTCGATACATCTCTCGTGACGGTAAGCGCCAAGACACGGCATCGCGATACTTGAGGCCTCGTCTCGAAGACAACAAGCATCCCAATCTCCATGTTGTTGTTGGCACCAAGGTCATCAAGGTTCTGATTGAGGGTCAGCGAGCCACCGGCATCGTGCTCAAGGGCGTTGCGGGAGAGGCAAATGAGCGCACGATCCGAGCCAACAAACTGGTTGTTGTATCCGCAGGCGCGTTTGGCACACCTGCAATCCTGGAGCGATCCGGAGTCGGCAGCGCTGAGGTCTTGAAGCGTGCTGGCGTTACTCAGGTTGTCGACCTTCCTGGTGTCGGAAGGGAGTATGAAGACCACAGCCTGGTGATATACTCATTCAGGTCTGCTCTGGACCCTGAAGAGACTATAGATGGGATTCTGAGGGGCAAGATGAACCCCGACGAGCTGATACAGAGCAACCACGCGATTCTAGGGTGGAATGCCCAGGAGGCTTCCCTTAAAATTCGACCAAGCGAGAAAGACATCGCTGCATTTTCTCCCGAATTCAAGGAACATTGGGATATCGAGTATAGAAACAAAAAGGATAAGCCTCTGATTGTGATGGCTTTGATCTGCGCGTAAGTCTAGTGATCATTGACCCTCGAGATTCCAATAGCATCCTAACTGAAACAGCTATCCGGGAGATCCCACCGGTGTTCCTGAAGGCCAGTATTTCGGCATGTCCGTCTTCACCACGGACACTCTCTCGAAGGGTCACCTCCATATTACTGGCCCGGGCTTGGACGATCCCGTCGATTTTGACGTCGGATGCCTTTCGGATGAAAAGGGGATCGATCTTCAGAAGCACAGATGGGCGTACAAGAAGCATCGAGAGATTGCCCGCCGTATCGGTGTCTTTCGTGGAGAGTACGCGCCCGACCACCCTCAATTCCCGTCTGGCTCGAAGGCTGTGTGCGTTGAACTCGATGCACCACCTCAAAACGTGAAAGACATCGAGTATTCAGCCGAGGATGGTGCCATTATCGATGCTTGGATACGGGATAAAGTCAACTCGACATGGCACTCCCTCGGTACATGCAAAATGGCTCCGGTCGAGAATTATGGTGTCGTCGGCCCCAACCTGAGTGTTCATGGTATCCAGGGCCTGAAGTTGGTTGATTTGAGTATCGCCCCGAAGAACGTTGCTGCCAATACGAATCATACAGCACTTGTGATTGGAGAAAAGGCGGCGGATATTATCATCAAGGAGCTCAATCTATGAACAATTTTATGAGTTTGGGTGTCTAGACTGCCCTTGGCTCTCTTTGCTTTTAGGCCATCAAAGCCATCGTACGATCTTGAAAAGACCGACCATCAAAATACTTTAAAAAACAATCATCATGGCTTGAAGCCGCTATGCCGCACCATCTCTAACAGTAATTTGTCTACCATTGCCGACTCAACCACTGCTCCGAATCTACCATCTTCGTTAGTTTTTCGAAGTCCATTGGATCCCAATTGCTTTCTATAGATAGAAAAATGGCAACATACCCAAAACACTTAGCCGCGTCTCGTAGCTTATCCGCCAACAGATGCAGTCTTTGTACGTCGATCTGATCGGAATATGGTTGGTTCTGGATGTGTTCCCAGATCTGTACCGGCGTCTGCTCCGTCCCGGGACACAGCTCAGGCGATAGGCGAAGGAGTCGGTCAAGGATTGCTACTGGGGCTGTTTGGGGCGCTTTGCCGTTATGTGGTATGCTGCATGATTCCAGCATCATTGTTGCCGTAAACGTATGACCGTGAGGCTCATCAGGTTGATTTGGATCGCCATGGATATGACCAAGACAGATGCTTTCGAGCCTTGTTGGGGGGAGCATTAACGTTTGGGTTGGGTCTGGCTTTCGGCTGGCAACAAGATACTCACCTGAGAACGAATTCCATCCTTATCCTAGATAGATCGGAATTCTGAGGAGAATGGCAGTTTGTGTCAAGGGCAGCTGGTGTTACCGCATTTTGCCTCGGTTGGTTTGAGAGTAGCTCGTCAAATGTACGAGCTGGAGAAGCCGTCGCCACGTTTGAAATGTGACCTCCATTTAGTAGATCGTATTGCGTGTGCACCTCGCCCCGGGCCGAGCCGAGCGATAGACCAGGAGGGAGTTCAATGCCTTGCTGGGACAGGTAGCTCATGAGGGCATCGGTGGTGCCGCGAAGCCTTTCAACCTCCTGAGTCAAACCGCTTTCCCGGAGTGTGGCCTGTGATAGCTGTTGTTCGAGGCATTTGGTGTACTTTTCTTTCCTACGATGTGTTCTGGGCGGATCATGAGCATGATGGTGTCTCATTTAGGGGCATAGAAACTTACTGCTGAGCACGACGGAGTTGTCCCCGACGTTTGGCTACAGGGTCCTCGCTTTTTCCTGCGCTCCACGTAAGCATTTGAGTCAAGGATTGGCGGAACAAGTCATTCATTGTACGAACCATCAGGCTTGAAAATCCGGAATATATCGCGACTCATTGCTGATAAATAGCCTGAAACCGTGCCAATTACGGGAGAAGGAGAGCGTGCAATCCTGGCAGACCCGCGCTAGGCCAATAGCTGTTCGCGCAATCCGGGGATCGGAAATTCTCTCTGCAAGTGCTCTTCCTGAATCCGCGAGAGTGATATTGCCAGCGGTCGAATGCGTACGTCGGTATTGTGTTTTGGAAGAAATTGTCCTGTCATCATTAGTTCAGCTTGGAGATGAGGCAGGGCTAAAGCGAGACCAAACCAAATCGAGCAATCTTGATTACCTCTCCTCATAATCAGGCAAAAGAGTGTCGATCCAAGCCCAAACTGGAAATTCTGATTATCGGGTCAATTCAATGCCTCCACAGCTACAGGACCAGCTATGACGGTTGTCAGCCCAGCACAGCCCGTCATCAGATTGATGGTTTCCGGGATAGGAAATCCTGATTAACTTCCATTTGGGTTGAGAGCAGAGCATTTCAATATATAAGGTTTGACTATCTCCGGTGTTTGTCCAGTCAGTCTTTGCATCTTAACAGTTCATCAAGAAAGACAACCATACGACATCCATTCACTTGCCTCCGCCCCCTTCTTCCCCCGTTTTCACCATGTACACATCAGTTCTCGCTTTTCTTTGCCTTCCCCTGGCTATGGCAAGCCCGTGCCAGGGAAGAGACCCCTATAAGACTGCAATTTATCTTACAACAAATGAACAGCAAAACTCGGTCGTCGCCCTGCCCATCGGCCGCAATGGTCTCCTCGGAAATGGTACAAGCATCTCAACTGGCGGACGTGGTGCAAGTGGTCTGCTTGCAAGCAACAACCAGCCTTCCGCTCCCGACTCCCTTTTCAGTCAGTCGGCTCTCACGGTGTCTGGCAAAGTAAGTCTTCTCTCTCCATTTCCAAATCCGAACATGGTGCTAATGGTGTGTTATTATAGTATCTCTTTGCTGTTAACGCCGGGTCCAATTCCCTCTCCATGTTCCTCATTGATCAGAATGACTCCACCAAGCTCACCCTGGTGCAAGAGCCTCTGTCTCTCCCAGGAGAATTCCCCGTAACCGTTGCAGCCTCTCAAAAGAAAAACCTGGTGTGCGTGGGATTCAGCGGCGCCAAGGCCGGCATCTCGTGCGCCAGATTCTCCGCGCATGGCATCGAAGCGATGGATCAGCTCCGCCCTATCGAGTTGGGGCAGACTACGCCGCCTCACGGTCCTCTGAACACCGTTTCGCAGGTCTTCTTCGCCGCGGATGATAAGACCTTGTACTCGACCGTCAAGGGGGACCCGATGGTCAACAACACTGGCTACTTTGCTTCATTCCCGATCCAGGATGGCAAGGTCAGCAATGAGGGAGTCAGGTCGTCTCCAAACGGGACAGCCGTGCTTTTTGGATCCGTGGTTATTCCTGGGACAAACGATGTGTTTGTGACCGATGCCTCATTCGGTGCCGCCATTCTGGATGTCACCAAGGACGGCAAGGCTGTCTCTGCCCATCGCGGACCAATCGCCAACCAAATGGCCACTTGCTGGGCTACCTTGAATCAACGTACAGGCACCGGGTTCGTCACCGACGCAGTTGTCAACAGGCTGGTTGAGGTGTCGCTTGCAGACGCCAGCGTCCTGAGCAGCATCGACCTGAGTGCAAACGGCGACCCTGGACTTCTCGATCTTGTCTCCCACGGCAAATACGTCTACGCCTTGAGCGCTGGTAATGGAACGACAGAAGCGGCCATTGTGGTTGTGGACGCCGTCAGCAAGAAGCAAGTGCAGCATGAGAGCCTGGCTTACTTGGGGGCGGGCAAGAGTTCGGCAGGCCTGGCCATCAACTGGTCTTAGATCATCATTCAGCGATCATCATAGCATTGCTTATAGTCGCATCGGGTAGAGAGAGAGGTTATATGGGCTCTGATGCCTATGGCCATAATCACTGTGATTCTTTTAGACGGATAGATTCTTATCAATACAATACATCTTGTTTCCAGATTGGATATCAAAGCAACAAATCATAATGGCCTGTTCCAGTAGCTCTTGATTGAAAAATAAATTGAATGTCGGGCTCCGTGTCTTGTACGACTTCCTTCAAAGTGAGGGGGTGTCTGGCCGCTGATCGGCGATATCCATCAATCGTGGCCGTCAATGCGAAACAGTGTCTCGTGACAAATCGATGCCACCTGCTTGACTAAGATGGGAAACTTCGGTCAAAGACTGGGATATTATTTATTCCTCCCGGCAGACTCAATATTATTGTGGCTGGCTGGCTGACGCGCTCATTGGGCATAGATTGATGCGGGCGCGTCAAAGTTGTGTCCTACTGGCCAAGAGAGTGCCATTGATAAAAACGTACGTCACCCCATCCGAGAACTCACGCATCTTGCACTTTGCATCATCACCGTCGCACCGCAAATGAGGGGTTGAAGGGTGCGCCCCGTCTGCCATCGCTCCTTGCCCTGCCTTTCTTTCTTTCTTTGACTCATCGTCAGTCAACCTTCATCTGAACGTAGAGACCTACGCTTCTCAGTATACCTGACCTTGGGTACGAACAGCGTGTAACCATGGCTCGCTTCCGAGCAATGGCCAGCTACCCCTTCCGAATCCTCGCCTCCGGTGCCTCATGTGTCAAAAGCATCCTCCAAGGCATCTGGGATCTCTTCCCTTGGTCCCAGTTGAAGCGGATGGAGCGAGAGGACGAGCGACTGCAGCTGGCGCACAACAAGTTCTTCGTCGACCGCATCCTCAGACCGGCTGCCGCTGCACCCATCAGCACAGTCGTGGAGGAACCGCTCTCGGAAAGTACCAGCCCCCTCTTCAGTCGAATCCCACCCGAGGTCCGCCGCGATATCTTGCTGTATGCCTTTGGCGAGCACACGCTGCACATGGACCTGGGATTCCACGCCCCGCCCAAGCACGTCGACGAAGAGCCTACTGATCCTGGTAATACCGCCCATGCGGGGATTGAATCTCAGGAGTTCATCTCTTTCGGCGACAGAGACGGACAGTGGAGATGGGGCGGCTGCATTTGCCATCGCTCTCCGCCAGAAGAAGACCCGCTGTCGTTGGGCAGGCTTCGATGCGATCCTCTCGTACCTACGAGAGAGTCTTATTATTCCGACGGGTGCCTGGCTGGCGAGGCCTCTTGTCCGCACTGGCCAGGACAGTGGCCCGTCAAATGCCAGATCGGAATAATGGGCTGGCTTTTAAGTTGCCGCCAAGCGTGAGTACCACCACTGGCCTCTGAACTAGCTAGTCCCTTGCTTACTTTGCTTGCCACAGGTATCTGGAGGGAATGGAGGCCCTGTACGGAATGAACACGATACAGGTCTCGTGCAAGCTTCTCCTTCGTGGCTTCCCGGAGCTGATCTCATCGAATGTCATGTCGCATATAACGTCGCTCAAGCTTGTCATAAACCCGCAGAAGCTGCCGCTTAGGCATGTGTTCATTGGCCACTTTGATCGATCTCGCGCTCGGCAGCTGACGCCCCAAAAAGCGCTTTTCCCATTGCTGTCTCATCTCCACATATGGCTCAGCGGCCCGGAATATGAACTTCTTGGTCTGGCCGATGCTGATGCCCTTGAGGCTGCAAGTCACAATCCAAGGGATATATACTCACCACCGGACTTGGATGTTATGATCATCAGGCTTGCACCGGCTACAACAAACGTGACTGTCACCTGCCCGTTCTCTCTGTGGTACAGGTCAGTTGAGGCGGATCACATCAACAGTCAGGGGAAAGAGTGGACACAGGAGCGAGGCTCGGAATATGGAGGCGTGGAGTTCTGGCGTCAGATGCCTGTTGGTGGGCAACTGCCCAAGACGACTGAGGAATGGCAGGCGGCCAAGAAGAACGGGCGAGGATATTGGATCCATCTTGGTCTAGTATATGATATCCGTCATCAAGTTCATGAAGTAGACGATGACGACTGAGGGATATGAGCCATCCCGCGCGGGAGAATGAGCTGGGTTTGCTGGTCTAATTTGTCCTTTTAGGTCTACCTTAATAGCTCTACCAGCTAACAAAAGGTGAGAGACAAGTTGTTCGCTTTTCATAATGCCATTTTTTTTCTTCTCTTGCGCAGCAATGATTGTAGAATGCCAGCGTTTTTGATTGGTCGCCGTCCCATGGTAGTCAACCATACAACAGCCAAGGTTACAGAGCGAACTTCCAGAACCGCCATGTCATATTAATCCCAAGGGGAATATATCGGTAAGACCTTTTCCACTCTTATAGTATCAAACCAAGCGCATATCACTGTTGGAAGTCTTGCTTTCAATATTTCGTCATCGAAAGGGTCTGCGAAACGTTCGAGAGGTAGTTGGACAGATACTTGTAGACACCATTGCACGAGCTCGGTCCCAGGAGTGTTCGGTTGACATTCCCTCATGAACAACGTGGATTAGAGTAGGGCGATGTCGGCTTGAAGCATGAGGCATGCTGTGTTTGGGGCCTAGAACTTTGTCAGTTCCATACTTCTTAGGTCTGTGGTCCTCCATCTCCGTCCTTATATGTTCGAACTAGTAAGATATGCGAAGACCAAAGGGCCATTGTGCCATGAGAGGACTAGGAGGCAGGAAGGATCGATTCGTAGCTTTCATCGTTCGCAACCGACCGCAGGAATCTTATCAACAAGTGAGAAATCCTAGTGTTAAGGGAGCCAGTTAGTATAATGGTCTTTGTTGGCTGCCTTTGCCCGGAATCTCACCTAGCGGGAGTTGTTACCCTTGTCTGGTACGATAGAACGACCCAAAGACTGCTTCTCATTCTGCATTACTCACAAAGTCCAGACTTCCCATTGTCTCGTCGTAGCAAAACCGCACATGCAGGAATGGAAACAGACGACCAAGAATGCAACTGGGAGGAAAAAAGGAGCTGGATTACGTGAACAAGCAACCTAGCGCCCATTCGATTTGTGGCAACGAAGCCATCAATCGTATCCACAAATAAACAAAAAAAAGCTGCACGGGTCAGCTGATAGACGGGCGGGCAGAGGAGTGAGACACGCGGGAAGTCTTTCATGCTGCGGGACAGTGACCCCCACTCATGGTTACTAAAATTTGTCTATCCTAATCATGCTTCCGGTTTCACTCAGCAGCAAGGAACGTTTGAACACGTCGTCAAAGGAGCCGTGGAACCTCCGGGTAACGACGTGTGTCCTGTAGACTGAAGGAGCCGGAATAACAGGGAATAGAGGAGAAAATTGGGGGTTTGTGCGGGTAATTCTGGCATTCACTTCCCTACTAGGAGACCCGAACACTACTAAGAATATTGAAAGTAGCCAACAAATGAAGAACTCACGATGCAAGGCGGTATGGGAAAGGAAGGGGCTGCAGGAGGTGTCCCTTTTGGACAACCCGAGGGCAGGTCTCGGATATTGCTCCACCGAGAAGTGGAGGTGGAAAGATGGGAATGAGCTTGTGCTCGGATGGTGGAGACGAAATCTGCATGCAAGCAGAGGCTAGATGGAGGGAGAGAAGAGCAAGGGGTAGCACGGAGTACCCAGAGCGGCAACAGAATGGGCACAACTCGGCCAACTCAACTGGGTGCGGTTACAGATCACCTGGCCCTTTACCCCTTTGCCGACGCATGCCGCAGAGGATGGAAATGCCACGTTGCACAAGGCAAGTCACAGTGTCCAGCATCACGAGGACTGACTTTTCACACTCTGTCCGTGTTCTGATCATCCAGTTGTCTGCGCACACACTGGTGGTTGCACCAACCTCACGATGGCTTCAAATTGCCGGATTGGTAAAGTGGACAGGACACGTCCCATACAGCAATGCCCCATCAGCTGACTCGAGCCGGGGTCGGACCCTGGAGCTTGTACTGGTGCTGCCACAGGGATTGTGCAATTCAACTGCCCCACGGCAGGGAAAGGGGTGCTTTTATGAGAATGGGAGAGTGATATTCACAAACCCGTGTAAAGCCGAGCCCGCAATTCCAGTCGAGAAGCCAACTACCCTAGATCAAGGTCACCGTCGTGGTGGGCAATGGAACTGTCCGTTCCAATCACGCAGCTCGTCTGTGCGACGATGAACTGATGTTCTGTGGCATTTGATGGATTGGGTTTCTTGCAGGCTGCGGCTTAGCTTGGGTAGCATCCAATGGCAATGTCAGAGTCGCGGTTCACTGCCAGCGGGAATGTGACTCGTGTACATGGAGTCTATTTTTTCCCTCCATGTGGTAGGAGGATTCGCACGGCAATGTGCCGATTGGGGAGGCTTTTGGAATGCAACACCACCCGGCTCGTCGTATTCCCTTTTCCGGGACGACATCGGGACTTCATCGGTCCATCAAAACACACAGTGGCACCAATGGGATGCTCACGAATGGGTTGACAGGGGCGCTAGATGGCAGCATTTACTAGCCTGCTGCTTGCTGCTGTGTCACGGAGGCTAGAGCCATGCCCTTGCATGCATCCTCACCAAAAAGAGGGTGCGCTGGGGCATGGAAATGTTGCTCCGGATGCGCCAGCGTACCCCTAGTGGGTCAAGACCAGTTGGTTGGGTCAGAATTCAGAAGGTGTGTTTTCAAGAGAGGGGGAGTAGTCAGAATATGGGAGGGGAGGAGTCGGAATATTGGACGGGAGACTGGAGGCTGGAGTCAGTCAGGGGAATTGGGGGTTCCTGGAGATTGTCCCGTCACTTCCGTCGGGCAGAGCTTCGGGAGAGGCTGAAGTTGGGTCTGTATGACAGCAGCAACTGTCCACGTGAGAAGCCTCGTATGTAATAATTGCTTGTGCTGCCTCGGGGCCCCTTTCTGAGGAGGAGGCGTCCAATGTATGACCAACGGATCTCGATGGCTGGTGGCCTCGCAAGCGTCAGGCTCAAGTGATCACGAGGCCAGTTCGCTGTGGAGCGTTGCCCTGGATTAAGTTGGCCTTGGGCTCTGGCCCCAGATCTCCACTTGTTCGGATTCTCCAGATCGATGTAGGGTCCTTCTCCATCAAAAGTCAATGCCAAATTTACCTACAGCCTTGGCCGTCTATGGCAGTTCGGCTAGACAGCAGCAGTGACCCCCATCGAAGCCCCCCAACCTTTCTTTCCGTGGCCCCCGTCCCCCGCGGTCGAGACAAGTCGAAGGATAACCCCTTTGGTGTTTCCGTGATTACTTGACCCCTTGCTCCACCATCTGCACGCACTCCTGCCGTCCACGTGAACGACAAATTCTTTGGCCATTCCATCTTCCCCACCAATCTGCTGGGAGATTCTTTGCTTGTGCTCCCCTGCCTGCTACCTGGGCGCCGGAGATACCGGGGCAGCAGGCCCCGAATGTAGGCAAAAGGGGAAACAAAATGGAACATGGCACATGGCGGGTGCTGCCTAAGCCGATGTCGAGCATAGGTAAGCAGGACGACGACGAGGATTGTCGATGATCGATGATTACACGATGAATGACAGGCGAATGACGCTTGAACCACGCAATTGAGCAAGCCATTCTCAGCCACTGCCCTGGATATACTGATTGGCGCGGTTCCTGGTCAATTGGTTGATTCATAGACTTTGTGATCGCTTGATCTAGTGACCGATCTCACATCAGACCCCGCACGACATTTACCCGTGGAGGAAGTCATCCAGGCGCTCAATCAAGATGCTGCTCGTGCCACCCGGCAGGGAAGCGGACCAGGGCCAGGATGCACAAGCACAGCCAGCTCTTCTAGTCAAAGAGGGTGTGGGCGGACTGCTTCTGGCTGGTCTGTCAATCTGTGATGTGAGCTTCATTTGTGGAGATTACCGCTTTGGGCAATCCGAGGCAGGGTGGCGGGACTTTCCCAGAGCCACCCTTTGGGGTGTCTCGTGGCATCGCATCGCACCTCTGCTCTTGCTCTGCTCTAGATGTTGCCGCTCACACCGAACCGAGACTGAGACGAGGCGAGGCGGGAGTGAGCTTCGTCGCCCTAGGCCCAGAATTTCATAATGATAAAAAGCCAGCTTGCGAACCCTCAGTCTGATCGTTTGTCTATCATTCCCATCATCAAAAGAGTCTACTCACCTCGGATACACACTTATAAAGACACTTCTATCATATATCAACCCACCTGAACCCCCAACTACTACCACCGTCACACCCACTTCATTAATCTAGCACACCACAACCATCAGCGATGGAGCAAGTCGAGATCCAGACCTCTTGGCCGGCCACCCTCTCCCTCGTGGGAGAGCCCGCGCCTACCATGAAGGCCCTCCGCTTCCACGGCCAGAAGGACATCCGCCTCGACGACGTCCCCGTCCCCACCGTCTCTGTCGGCAAGGTCAAGATTGCCCCCAAGTTCTGTGGCATCTGCGGAACCGACCTCCACGAGTACCTCGGCGGCGCCAACCTGATCCCCAAGCCTGGCAAGCCTCACCCCATCACCAACGAGACCTACCCCATCACCCTCGGCCACGAGTTCTCCGGCGTCGTTGAGGAGGTCGGCGAGGGCGTCACCCACGTCAGGAAGGGCGACCGCGTCTGCGTCCAGCCCATCATCTACGACGGCGACTGCCGCTCCTGCACCCGCGGCCTCGTCAACTGCTGCGACCGCAACGGCTTCATCGGCCTCAGCGGATGGGGCGGCGGCCTGGCCGAGTCCACCGTCGTCCCCCACACCGCCGTCAAGAAGCTCCCCGACAACGTCTCCTTCGAGGTCGGCGCCCTCGTCGAGCCCCTCGCCGTCGGCTGGCACGCCGTCGACATCTCCCCCTTCCGCGAGGGCGACACCGCCCTCGTCCTCGGCGGCGGGCCCATCGGCCTCGCCGTCGTCCAGGTCCTCGCCGGCCGCGGCTGCAGCAACATCATCGTCAGCGAGGTCAGCAAGAAGCGCCGCGAGTACGCCCTCCAGTTCGGCGCCCACAACGTCATCGACCCCACGGCCGAGGACGTCGTCGAGCGCGTCAAGGCCCTCACCGGCGGCCGCGGCGCCGACGTTGGCTTCGACGCCGCCGGTGTC